CCTACAGATACCCTCTTTTGCCCTTTGAATCTAGTTTCCCGCTTGTACATCGGTGGTGGTATACGTCTCTGGAAATTATTAATGTATTTATATAATCGAGAGAGAAAGAGGAGAGGCACAATTATCTCTTGAATTAATTAAGAGTGAGTCTCTGTGAGACGGATCAAAATCAAGCAATGCAACCTGACAATAGAATCTTCGAAGTAAAAGAGCGAAGCTGAAAGCAGCTGAGCTTACAATTTGTGTTTCGGTGGATCGCGGAAGCTCGTCGAAACTATCCTCGTGCCCGTCGATTACCATCGGGTCGTCCTCGACTTCGATATCCTCCACTTTAATATGGTCTTCTATGGAATCAACGGTCGAATGCTTCGGCAGGAAAGGAATCACCGATGGTTCCTTGATATATTCAGTGGTGTGAACTCTGGTTTCGATGTGGCATCGTTGCATCCGCGTCTCAACCCTCGTGTAAAGATTGCGATTGCTCTCCTGATTCTTCTGTTCTCCGGAGAGACCGCGTATCTCCAAGTCTGTCGCAGTTTTTATTAACGAGGGTAGATGCTCCTCCGCTACATCGATGGATCCTCTGTACATGAAGTCCAAGAGACATTCCATCTCTTCTACGGCGACGCCTAAACGTTAAATGTCAAATATAAATGATCTTTTTATAATTTTTTAACAAGGCTTACAATAGTCTAAAGTATTACAAGCTATTTATTTCAAAAAGATAGCAATGATTTTTCGGCTTCCATGATATATATTTATAGAGTACGATTGTCAGCTCATATGAGATAAAAAGTAAACATATGAGATAAAAAGTAAACATATAAAAACTTTGTATAAAAAGTTTAACGAATCTCAATTCTAGCAATTTAACTTGTAAAATTGAGTTTTTCTTTGTAATGTTGATGAACTCACAAGCGCGTTTTTTAATCCATTTGATTAAATGTTACGAAATTTTTCCAAAGCGCGTTTACAATATTATACCTTTTAAAATGAGGATGGGTTGTTCTCCATAGTGTTCTTTAAAGACTCTTTCGAAGTAAGGGCTACATGCTGCCAGTACTAGTCTGTGGGCCCTCAACATGCCGCCCTGACAAGCCAATGTCGCATCTGTCAACGAGCCGCTCTTATAAAGAGCCTCGAACAAACCCGACAGATTCGCCAGGTGATTGTTCCATGTAAGATTGAACGTCTTCTCGCCCATACTTTTCGAATATTATCGAGTCCCTAAAATAGTATAAACACATACAAATTTTTTGTAATTGTGTAAAAACTGACATGTATATAAATATATATATTTATATAAATATATATATTTATATATTTGGATTCTATTCTCTGTATTGTATTGTATATTTTCTTTACACAGAAAATATTCTAACAAAATATTCTTAAATAATCAACGATTTATTGTTGGATTATGCGATTTGAATTAATCATAGAATATTCACGATTGTTTTACGTAACTTTGTATTAATGTAGGAATATTCCACAATTGTTTATTGTTATTATATTGCTTTTAATATTTCAATCGACGCCTTATTTCTCTATCATGCGGGATTTACGGAATCAAGAATCTCATATGTTTTCGCTTGGAAAAAAATTCAGCATTAAATTATATTTATCACGATGCATCATAACCGGATGGGTTCTCGCTTAATGCAACTTCTAAACTCGAGTGCAACTTGTAAACTCGCGTAAATACGGCACAAACTTGCCGCATTTATCGCAACAGTAGGCAGCAGTTATTAATCATCGTACTAGCGGAATATTAATATCGCCTTCCGCAATCCGTAATCGTTGCATCATAAGTGAAATAATCACAGTCGTGGGTCGCGTGCAATCGCGTGGCGCGGGGGCGACGGGGCGTCGCGTCGTTTTAATTGACACGTTCCGCACAATTATTCCGATCGTCGTACACGGAGATATATGCACGCGAATATACTGTCGCCGATACTCGGCGCATCTCGTAATCGACTAGTACATCGCGGAACTAGTTACCTAGAGTCGCTTGAATGTCATTAAATCGCGACGATTCGCAAGCGATATTTAACGTAAAGACCGGTACCGCGCGAGCTCACCTTGGGAGAGAATACTTGTGACTTCGTAATATCTCGTATTAAAATCACGCGCTCCAATTTTTCTTCTCCAACTTTTTATTTCGTAAACATACGTGATATTATATCGTCGTGGATCGATCGCGAATTTACGATAGATTATTTTTGCGAGTCGAGCGGAATAAAGTTGTTGGCAAACTCGCGGGGACTCGAAATGTCGCGCGAGAAGGACATGTCGAAGAAGGTTCTCCAGAAGGGCTACCTGGTACGCGACCGAGAGACCGTATTCGCGTGTGCGTATGTGCGTGTGCGTGTGTACGACTAGGCTCTAAACGAGACGGATAGTCATGCGCAGACGTGAACCCTCGCATTGCCTCGATCCATAATTTTGTTGGTGGACCCCCCCACGCGCATTTCCAAGGGATTCCCGTTCCGTACGGGAATTGGCCAAACGCACCCTTTTTTCCCTTATTCCGTCACGACCGAAGGAAGCTCGGATGGAAGCGGCTCGGTCGAAATCGAAGACGCCGAGATGCTTAGCTTTATCGTTTCGTAATCGACGATGATCCGATTTTTTTCTATTTCATCGAAACGAGACGCGTTCGAGTGAGATTTCACGGAATTTATGTATCTGGAAACCTCGAACGGAAGGAGATGAGAGAGCAAAAATCAACAGCTGGAGAGAATCACGTGCGCGCTCCCGATATAAATATATCTTCATACGTCCATTAATCGTACAACGTTCATAAAATCGAATAGAGTTTCGCCTTAAACGACAATGATGAGCCTCTAACGAAGGACCTCGAGGCGCGAACATTTCTATCGAGTTCGCGAGCGTCGAGTAATTGGTGATCGACGATGCTGAAGAGATGAAAAAGTTGAAGAAAGTTGAAAGAAATGAAACAAGGGAACGACGAGAAAGAGAGAGAGAGAGAGATGCTGACGGCGCGAGTGCCGCTCACGTGCACGTATACGCGAGGGGAAGTGACAAAAAGCAAGAGGAGAGCGAGGCTTTATACACGTGACTAACGTGTCCAGGAATGCGCGAGTTTAGCGCGAACGAGAGAGAGACGCTCGACGTCGCGCGCCGCGCAATGCGAAGCGAAGCGATGCGATGCGTCGCGTCGCCTCGCGTCGCCGCGTCGTCTCTCTCTCTCTCTCTCTCTGTCTCTCTCTCTCTCTCGCCGAGCTCTATTAATACCCGCGCCTCGACGTCGACGTCGCGCCTCGGAAACGCGCTCCGAAGGGAACGCTACCGAGGCGAGGCTTCACCTCTGGCCACGTACCTATTATATCGTCCTCTTCTCGCGTCTTTGGCGACCGATTCGCCGATCGTCCAACAGCGCCGATATCGGAGCACCGTCCCCGGCCTGGCACCCCGGGTGCTGGCTCCGACCTGGTATCTTCCGGGGAGATATTCGATCCGGAATTGAATCCCCGCGGATATAAACGCAGCGATAGAACCGGGCGACGATGACGAGCGCGATGTTTTTCGTTGGAGGGGCGGTCGTCGTATCGAGAGACGTAATATATATATATATATGTCTATCTTACTACGAGAGGGGCACGGTGCACGATGTAACGACGTGCTGGGGCTCCCTCGACCGAGTCGCGACTGATATCATTTCCAGCGGGGGACTGTAGGGTCGGCAGCCAGAACCCCACCAGGGGGTCTTCGTGCAACCCCCACGCGGTGTCGTAGTAGTCGTGCACATCGTCGACGTCGTCGTCGTCGTCGTGTGCCAGCCTCTCGAAACCCCCCGCGCACGCATACGCACACGCGCGCACTGTACGTGTAATGCGTGCCACAGGGAGAGTCGTCGTCCCTCTCCGTCTCCCTCTCGCTCTCTCCTTCCCTCCCCCTCCCCCCTTTCCCTCTTTTTCTCTCTTTCGGCCCGAGCCCCGATTTCGCGTCGTTCCTCTCTGTCTCCTCGAAACGAAGAGTCTCTCTCGCGCTCTCGACGCCCTCCCCCCTCGCGCTCGGCCCCCTTCGCTTCGCTACGCGTCGCGGGTGCCTTACCAACGCCCGGCGCGTCGCGTACCCAGCGACTTTATCCACCCTGAATCCTCGCCTACACAAGGGGTTGCCTCTCGCCAGGCGAAAATAACGCTCCTTTCTCTTCGGCGCGCTTCAATTTTTTTTTCTCTCTCTACATTATTTACCTCGCGCGCGCGATATTCGGGGGAGATATTTGCATATTTCCGACTCGCGCGTATATAATTTATATCCGCGTATGTACAAACGACTATCGACATTTCGATAACGCAGCACCGATAAATGTAGGTAGCATAAGCTCCACGAGGACACGGGGCGGCGTATGAAGGGGTGTGTCCCACCCTGTATTCTATGGAAATATCATATCGTTTATTAAATATCCAAGTCAATATCAAAGTATCTTCTCATTTTTTTAGTATTTTTTATACAATGTATATATATTTCGTCACGAGTGCGAGAGCGGACTCTCCCCCGTCGTCTTTCAGTTCCGCTCGGAAGCGGCGAGACATCCGTCTCGGGAGGAGAGGAAGAATTCGGCGGAAATAAGCGAGCGGGAAGCGCGTCGACGGGATGGCGTCGCACGAAAATTCGAGCCGCGCCTCGGAGAGACCTTGGAACATGAAACCGCTCGGCGTGGTGTCGCAATACGGCGACGGGCACTGACGTAATCCTCGCGCGTAAACGGTTACGCGACCGCCCGTGCATTCCGCCGATGCGCACATCGCCGCAGATGCATCGCCGACGACCGCCTGTCAATGTCGCCGTGCGGCCACGACGTTCCTTTAACGATCTCGTTTATCGTCGCAGAATCGTGCTGTTTACGCTGCTCGCTGTGCGATGCCTTGTACGATCCGAGTATAATTGATGCGGTTTGTACGATGCGTGCCCCGACGCGGTCGAGGAGAGGGGATAATACATCCTGATGTTAATAAATGAATTGATTTTTCGTATTGAGACTCCCTCTCCCTATCTCTCTCTCTCTCTCTTTCGGTGACCCGGCAAGTCCAGCGAGTCCGGCGACTGATTTGGGGGCAGCGGGCAAATATCGATTCGTTATTTTTAGGGGCAGTCCATCCGCTGTATGGACCCCACCTACACCGTTCCCGGGGACCTCGAATGGTTCTTAATGGATATTATCGCGCGTCATGTATACTCGAATACTGGAATTTTAAATGTCAATAATTTAAAAAATGTATATCCTTTTCCATCGAATCAAGTTGAATCGGTGTAATAACGATCTCTTTGTTTCTCTCAATTTCCTTTCTTTCTTTAAGCGCGGATATATTTATGATGGCATATAAACGTAGTAAAATAAAATTTTATTTTTTTCACAAATAAAATAATATCAAACACGACAATATATAGATCATATATATATATTTGTAAAATATGACGTCAATTTTGGTGCAATAGAAAATTATTGTCAGAATTCCTGCTTTACATTAACCGTACTGTTGTGTCGTTTATGACGAAAACGTCCCTATTTAATATCGATAATATCACCTAATGTTTTTACCCAATATCGATAATATTCTCTAACGTTTTTATCTAATGTCGATAATGTCATCGTCTTATATACACAAATTTTGCATGGAATATCATATATACGTCCGTAAAAATAATTACAAATTTCATTTCTTTGCATACACATGTACGTTATATACAATCACAAATATAACAACAAACATCCTCCATCAATTATATTTCATTAGTGACGTTATCGCCAGGCAACTTGTTCTTAATTAAAAATTTGACAAATACAAACCTGTGTATACTTAAATGCGTGTTTATTTCTAAATTAAATGTTCATTACGACCAGGTATATAATCCATTGAAGAATTTAAAACTTTCAAAGACCTCTATTCTGGCTGGATCAGGATTACAAAAGTGACTCAACAACTCCTCGTTAAATCCACAATCGCTCAGATTTTCTTGCCCGAAGATATTAGGCGGTACTTTCGTAACATTATTACGATCCTCTTCTTTCGTGACATTATATCCTACAACAAAAGTACAAATATTATTCTTGATATTTAGTCAAGTTCAAATTTCGCATCACGTATATTCACATATACACATGTATATTCACCTGTACCATGTTTTGCTGTAGAAAAGGGAGTTGTTGACGTCAGTTGTGCGCAGCTTGCCGAATACTGTTCTAATTGACTAGAAGTCATCAAATGACAGAGAGAAGGTAACACGTGCGGTAAAAGAGGTCCTTTCAGTTCCAGAGAATAATATTGGTCGTTATCAACGCGTACTACACTTTCTCGGACCTTCATTAAAAAATAATAATACAATAATGTAGTTTTATATAATAAAAATAATTATGAGCTTATATTTCTTATATAAAGTTTGCAATACCTTAAGCGCTTTTAACGTGGCGCCATGAAAAGCTATCGGAGCTAAAAGCGTAGGAGGAACGCCGGCTAATGCTCCGGTTGCCGCGATAGCAGATTTGCAATTAATTAAAAAATTGAATAACGCTTGTGTTTCTACGCCTTTTACAAAAACGAGCGATTGTTTCAAATTGTCTATTTCACTTTCCTTCTCCAAAGTCATCCTTGTCTAAAAATGTAACATTAGAATGAATTGATAATACACAATAAATAATTCTAAAATATATATTGTGTATATATATGTATATATATATATATAATACCTGCGAGTTATTAATCTTTTTTATTTCTGAATTTTCTACTCCAAGACTTTTGAGCCATGCATCTTGAGTTTCTTCTTCTTCCTCTTCATCCTCCTCTTCATAATTATTTTGTCCATTTGTTGTATTAGATGTAACATCTGTAGTCATAGAATCAGAATCTCCTCCGTCGGATCGTCTTCTAGAATCTTTCCTCAATGGCATAGAGTATTCTATTTCTGAAAAATATCAAGGGAAACTGAGTTAAATGAGCACAGTTAAATTATATTAATTTAGTCGTATTAAATGTGTACATAAATCGATAGAATCTCCTACCTTCTTGCTTTAACGATTGACGAAATCCACGTGTAGTGGGTGTGAGAAGTGCATGAATTTCGGACAATCCACAGATACCCGCAGCACGAAATAATACTGTAAATGTGTTGGCGCACACATAAAAGTATGGGCATTGCCTTGCTCGCAATAAATGAAACAATGATCTGAAACTGTCGCACCATTCTCTGTATAACGCATCTTTCATACATTGATTGTTTGCCATTGACATATTAGTTGCAAGGTTGGCGCTCACTTTACCCGCAGAACGAGGAAATAACTCTAACCATGGTAAAGATGGATGCTGCCATATTAAGCAGCATTGATAAAATCTAATCAAAATATTCAACAAACATTATTAAGAAAATTAGAACAAAAATAAATAAAGTTAATAAAACCAACCTTGCATTTAGACTAGTGTCCAAAGTTGTCTCTTTTCCTCCAATGTCTAGACATCTAACAAATCCTGTGGTTCCTGATGCCTCTTCGCTCGTCTTAAGTTTGCCATTCCAAGGAAAAGGTTTTGGAGACATAAATCTTACTTTAGTTTTTAAGGTCCAATCTAAAGGTATATGCTTTGCTCCCTTTGAGATGCTTTCATCAGGAGTTTGACTAGTTGATTCCAATTTTGAAAGGACATTGGCAAAAGTTAAAGAATTGTTTGCAGATGAATCTAATGTTTGCTTCTCTTGCTGGACGTTAATATTTAGTAACTCAAATAATGTGTTGTCGTTACTGATCTCCAATCCAGATATATCCTTCTGTTTCTTACACAATTCATTAATTACAAAAGGATTTTTACGTTTCTGAGGTACATGCTGAGGTATATTACTACTGGAATTAAGTTCATTTAAATTTGTAGCAATACGTTGAACTCCTGCAGTATTGATTTTTGTTTTATTGAGACGTGCTTGAAGTGCGCGTTTCTTTAACTTCATACGATGTAATTGCATCACTTGATCAGGACGCGTCCATTCCAATGTGTTAATATTTCCTGATTCTGCCATTGTCCTGTATAAAGTCAATCATGTTACATGTATTACTACATCAAAAGTTTATATTTCAATTATTTCATATATGTATACATATGAAATAATCAAAAATATAATCAATCTCATTCATCAATCGCACTAAAATCTTTATACTTACATATTTATATGGTATTATATTAAATGTACAAAATATTCCACTAAAGATTCTAATTAACCTTTACTACAAAAATAGTATTTAATTGATCGGTCCATTTAAGATTTTTGTAAAAGGAGTAAAAAATACATATTGCTCTTTATTATTTAATGATTAATGTCAATTAATTGTCAAAGTATCATTATTCATAAACAGATTAGATCAAACCGAAATCAAAATCATGCACGTACTACGCGATGTTGCGTGACATTCAGCACCTGTCAGGGATACCAACTGCAGCGTTGCAAAATGTAACGTATAAAGAGCAAGTGATTGGCCGCATTCAGCGGATATAATCACTAAGTAGCAATCGAACATGATTGGTTTCTACTTTTAGGTCCGACCAATCAGCGTCGAATTACGTCGGAAAATCTAGTAATGTTGCCCAACTTGGGTTGAGTCCGCTGAATGCGGCCATTGGTCCTCTCGTTACTAGCTTCGATACTTCGAGAATCGCAATGTAATTCAGTCGACAGTTTCAAATCGTTCGCAAAAGTCGTGTCCGAAGTTTGTGTCCGAATCACGTTGTATATTTTTCGCGATTATTGTCGAAAAGTGAATCCCGCGCGCGATATATTATCACGAGTGTCTCTCAAAAAGTTATTGACATAACATGTTGAATGTTACGCACGATTGCTATTGTGTAATATCGCGATTTTAGTGCCGTTTCGTTCGTGTGTTGTGTGAGTGTGGAATTCTGTCCGTTGTATCACGCTTTCATCGAAGTGCTGCGAAAAATTGCACTCATCATTGTCAAGTATGTTATGCATTGATATTATTTTTCGCATTTTTACATTTAATAAAAATAATTGAAAGTTTTATACATCAGATTTAATATATAAGCGACGCATGTGTGAAGAAATAAATTTTAACGAAAAGAGTCGAGACAATATGGCGGAGAAATGTATCCTGCGCGCGTCTCATCAATTATAATTTTTGCTACAAGATACTGAAAAGTGACGCCATCTTGTGAGCAGATAGGGAAATAAAATATAGTACTTTGAATTTATTACTTGCTTCTTTTTATACGTACTGATATGAATTCAGTGTAATTTTTTATATATAATATTTACATGATATATAAAATTTATATTTACATAATATAAATTTTATATTTATAAAATAAATAAAGTTTTTGCATGACAAGGATTAAATAAATCCATTATAAATAAATATATTATAACAGATTTTTTTTGTAATTATATAAATTGAAACATGATAAAATGAAATATATATTTAAAAATTAGAGAAAAGAGAAAAAATACGAAAAAAAGTGTAACAAGTTTAGTTAAAAATAACAAACTTAATTTTTTATTCGATCGAATCGTACTCTCGATATATGTAGATATTCAGATGAGTGCATCACGTGTGTGAGAGAGATTTATTTATTTATAATCAAATAAGAATACTTACCTCTCACACTCTAGACATGAGCGTTATATATATATATATATATATATATATATATATATATATATTATTAAACGAATCTCATTAAATGTAATAACAATAATGAATAACATATTAGTTACCTACACTAATCATATTAGAAAGCCCCATTTAAATAATCTCTATTCGCGAGAAAATTCAGATAAAACACAGATTTATTCATAATTTTATGTCCTACGATATAAAGCATTTAAATAAATAAAAAAATATGTATAATATATATAATAAAAAAATATATATATCATATAGGATTTTTAATGATAGATAAAATTACAAATAAATTTTGTTCTGAATTTTGTCGCGAATTATAGATTGCGTGATATATATATTATAATTAGCACAGGCTTAAAGCAGGTTGAAATGATTAAACTCGAAATAAAGTACAACGTTCGAGCCTTACTTTTATTTCGAAACATCAAAGTTTTTCGACGTTCAAAGTCAGTCAGCAGCGCATAAATCAATGACAAAATGACCGTTATTATCGTCGATTCATTAAGCATCTTCGCGATGGCGAGTCCCTCCCTTTCGAATTTTTCGATCCGCGTATCGACGATTTAAGTTTTATTCACGCTATCCGTACAATTACCGTCAGAATCTATTATTATATATAAAAGATTGCACATTGTAGAGATATTTAGAAATGATTGTAAATACATTCCGCAATATGAATACTGAAATATGTTCTGAAAGAGTGTCGAATAATATATTTATCATAAAAAAAATATGTTGAAATAGCAAAATTATACAGACTAATATTTTTTTATTGATTCAGCTTGTTTCCTGATGACAACTGTACGAGTCGTATGAATTAAGCTTACTCGATCGATCCGCGAAATGCGAATCTAAAGCGACGCGTACATTGACAACATTCATTGATCTAAAAATGTCCTCGGGAGTAGGAAAGGAAAGTAGGAAGAATTTGGAGTACTAAAGACTCCGATTTATTATCTTATTCTCATTCTCTCTCTCTCTCTCTCTTTCTCTCTCTCTCTCTCTCTTTTGCACGCTCTTCTCTCTTTCGGCCACATGTCCTCTACTACAATGCTTTTCTCGCACTCGCACACTCTCTCTACATTCTTGTCTTTTTTTGGCACAAAGTCATCCGGCACTAAGTAGCTTAGCGGTGACCAGTAATGGATGCCTTCTTCACCGTGGCCACAGTATCGGTATGAAGAAAAACATCGATAGGATGTGCGACAAGCTGCTACCACTTCCGGAGAAACCTTCGACGCCGTTGCTGGCGCCGGAGCTTTGAGCGGCCTCGGCTAGTCCTAGGAAAATTTTATTTTCTCATTGAAAAAAAAAAATGCGAAATCGATTCTGCGATAGCGGAATCGATTGCGCTAAAAATTGAACGCACATAAAAACTCTAGAGATTGTGAAATTCTATTATAATAATCTATCAAAATTAAATTACCGCAATTCACGAGAATAAATTCTTGCTCTACTTACCACCGATAATGGATACATGATCTTTTCCACGTGATGTCCTATCGAAACCGATTTTAATCTCTGAAAGTAGATATCGAGGACATTTTTGAAAATTTTCATACATTATAAATCGAAAACCATAGATACATATTCAAACTTACCGTACAATCTCAAAGTTCCGTCCGCCTTTCCTAGACTATTTGTTGAGACGCATTTATAACTACCGACGTCCTTCTCCGTGAATTTTTTGATTAAAAGCCACATCAGGACCGTGTATCCTGTACGTTCCTCTCGCACGTTATATTTCGGTCTACGCATTGCACGAATAAGTCTTAGAATATTTTCCGAAAGAAAAATGGAAAGAAAAATGTTGGATAAATAGTAAGAAATCTCTATCGAATCTTTATCGAGTGCTTTTAGTGTCATTTCATAGACGGCGCAGAAGTTTACAGAAACATTTTGTTGAAAAATATATTTGCAATGTATTTGCAACATATATGCCAAAATATATTTGTAACATATGTGCAAAAATTGCTGCAATTGTACTATTATAGTAAAAAAATAAATATTGAAATATCCATGTTTTACATTGATTACAAAAAGGCAACGATTGTATAACACTAAGATATTTGTAATTAATAAACATTTTTCGATCTATTGCAATTAAATTTGATTTTCAAAAAACTATTCTTGCTAAACGAAAAAAATATTACAATCAAATGTCATTAAATGTCTTATGATATTTGATTGTAATATTATTTTTAGATTTGATTGTAATATTTTCAATATCTCGTATATTAAAATTTTACAATCTCTATATATCTTTATGATGTAGCTGAAAAATTCTGTGCCATATGGATTTTATCGTTGCTTTATATCTCAAGTAATGTTATAATGAGCAATTATTTGTATTAAGAAAATAACGAGCGAAATAGCTCACCCTTCCAATAACATTTCGTCTTCCGTGCCTCGTTGATTCTTTACCCAATAATTGATCGTGTTCGGAAACGCTTCGACATAGCACTCTAACTGCACATCTGTACCTAGAGGTGCGCCCAATAGTTGGTTGGGTGCTTTCACGACGGGTGCAACTATGGAAATAAAGTAAGTTTAAAAAACGCGAGCAAACTTTTTTTTTAATATCTGCAAGTTCTCGAGAGAAGTTTCAAAACAAAATTTTCTTTGAAAAAAAAAAAATTGAAATGAGAGATTTATTTTTATTTGGTAAACACATATATATCAAAGTAAAAGAAGCTTACGCTTTACTTATTTCTTCGTATAATTTCCAAATCAAAGATTGAATGTAAATTTTTATGCAGAGGAGATTTCGAAACGAGTTAAACATTTTGCAATACTTAATATTTAAGAAATAAATAGGAAATGAACTTCATCAGTCTCTTGTAAAATTTTATGCGTTTAAAGAAACGTGAATGAAATTTCATTTACGTTTTCAACACGTGTTTCCTTTGTTCTTGAAATTTTCCTTTTCGAAGCAATCGCGATAACTCGCTTGTCGATCACGCGATTGTTTTTTCGAGTCGATTAGCAAATTATTTTCCGAGAGACGATCGACGAAACGAAGCGAGGCGAATCGAATTGGACTGAATCGAATCGAGCGAGTGAGCGAATTCGAGCTTACAATTCACGGCGAGCGTCACCCGCTTGCTAACTGCTGGCGGCACGTCGTTGCTGGCGATGCAGAGATACGCTCCCATTTGTCGCCTCTCGACACGGTGGAAATGCAGCAACGAACCGTTGTAGTGGTCGTGCCTCTCGAAAGTGCTACCACCTGCGTACACGGAAGAACATTCTATCATGTCCGAAAGTAACAAAAAAAAAAAAAGAAAAGAAAAATAAAACACGATAGATCTCGTTCTTGGCTTTCTCAACAGAAACAACAGAGTTTGATTACATTCAATTTTGATTATTTTATTTCCCGATTGCAATACAGAGAAAAAGGTGAAGCAATAAACGAATTAGAGAAACGAGGAAACGAGAAAATATACGCCTAATTTTGTCAGACTATGCTTACTTGGAAGATTTGCCGAATTTCTCATAAGAAGAATGTGTCAAAGATAAAACTCCCGTTGATAAGGAAAATACAGTCGCGCAATTACACTACGGATTCGTATAGATAAGATAGATAGTTATAGTCGATTAGTTTGGCAACTCGAGAGAGAGAGAGAAAGAGAGAAAAAGAGAGAGAGAGAGAGAAAGAGGGGAGGGAGGGATTCGCGACTGTGAATACGAGAGCGTATGTGCGCCAATTTACGCTATATAGCCCGGTTCTCTATGTAATATACACGCGCACAAACCGAGATACCGTCGAGAGAGGAAATCCTCTCGATTGTGCGCCCCGCACCCTCCGCGTTTCATCGCCCTCATCTTCGAGGCCAGTTCACAAAGAGGAACTTGTTTCAACGAGCTTACTCGTTACATCCACTCGTCTACGTACTTACGCCCAATCTAAGCGAGAATACGAGTTCGAAAAGTCTCTCGTTCTCTCTCTTGACTTATTACCGACTCTCTTCCGTCCGGGCGCTTTCTCACTATTTGAGTTGATCTTCGAGATCGCGCTATCGTGCCGTCGTCGCTGTTTCATTTTTTTTTTAGGTTTCCGATACGAAGGAAATATCGATAAACAATTGCGACTTTTCGATGAGCTTTTACATTAAACTTCTTTTTAAATAGAGGTTTAAAAATTTTGCGCCTAAGTCAACTATTGCATAAGAAATAAGCGCCTTTGATATAAGCGCCTTACATAGCCGTGCGTTAGAAGAGAAGTCAAATTTTTATGAATAAGGGAAAAAATGCTTTTTGCGGCTGAACAAGAAATTTTACAATATTATCTTTCAAGGGATTTTACGAATATTATCTTTCGATATGAGAAAACCGATAGAGAAAAGCGACATAACGATAAGTGCAATCGGGAAAGGATTCGTTCGCATCCCTGGACTTCGATAATAGGTCGCGCTTTAACGCATCTCGACCAGGCACAACTACGAGGTAATTAAGATATTAAGTGCTACTTAATTATCCTATTAATATTGAATTATGTGTTAGAGCGCGTGTAACATCCACTGCTCGTGAGAATTTCGCGTTTATCTTTAACGTGCATTGCGATCGGTAGTAGGAAAAATTGGAGTTTTAATTATTTATGTATCTGTATCATCAAATTTATCGTGTGAAAATAATTTTCTCCAAATCCAACAATCGATTATCGAGTATCGTATTTTAACAAGTTATTTCCTATGAATAATCAATTTAAAAATTTCATAAATAGCATAAATTATGAACCTTATTATTTTCACATTATTATCCATAAATGATCAATTTAAAAATTTCATAAATAGCATAAATTATAAACGTTATTACTTTGACAATTAAAGTATCTTTAAATACGTCAGAATGTTTCTTTTATAAGCTTGAATGACGCATCTGTTTTAAAACATTTTGCGATGAAAATATTTGGATGATTTTCAATGAATAATATGATACACTGAGAAAAGTCGTTTAATTGTATCAACAATAAGACATATCTGATAGAAGGCATTTTGATTAAACCAAGCAGAATTTTAGTTATCATAATAAGACTCGATTTTTTATAAATAGAACGTTTAATAGACTTTAATACAAGGATTTAGTTAGTATTTTCTAGTTGGATCTATAAAATTTGTTGTTATATTAACTAAATGTGGACAGAATGATGCCATTTTTTTTTATTTATTATTATATTATTATATCATTTATATTATTTTATTATTATATTATATTATATTATATTATATTATTATTATATTATATTATATTATTATTATGTTATATTATTATTATTTTATTATTATATCATATTATAATATATTATTATTATATTATATTATATTATATTATTATATTATTATTATTTCATTATTATATTATATTATATTATATTATTATATTATTATTATATTATTATTATATTAATAATTATATTATTATATTATTTATTATATTATTATTATATTATTATTATTATTATTATTATTATTATCAAGAAAATTTAATAGATTTAACAGGAAGAAATTAATCATACTCTGATAATTCCTAAAGGAATTCTGATTCATTCATTTTCCAATAGACATACTGATTGAATCTACCAGATTTCTAATGAATTCAACCAGACTTTTCTCAATGTACATATAAATGAAAAGAATCGCAATTTTAATTGTTCGCTTGGTCTTAATCAAAGTTCTTACCGACTGTAGAAGCCCTTATGACGATGGGTTCCCCGTCCTCTCTTCGCCAGGACACTCTCGGAGGCGGATGTCCCGTCGCGCGACAGCTCAAAGTCGCGTTGTCGCCTTCGGCTACTGCCAGGTCGGCGCTGGTATCTCCGTAAACGATATCGGGCGGCACTGGAGCAAACGTTCATAACGATAAATACATGATGGTCCAGCTGCCATCTCTCAAGAATAGATGCGACAGAATATCTCGACCCCCTTCCTCTCTCCTTCTCGCACGAGTACTTTATGAAAGTCATTATGTAAAACCACCACTTTGTTGGACTTGGTCTTTGAAAGAACGACTATCTTCGAGGAAGTATTTACGGTAAAGGCAAGAGAGAAAAAGGATATAGAGCGCAGGGAGCAAGAATAGGTATACTTAAGCGGAATGTTCGGGACGAGGGAGATAATTTTACGGCGGGGAGATCTTTTGTACGTTAGCATATACGCGTTTCCGTTTGTTCGTTCGTTCCGCCAAACTCAAAGAGCTTTGCATATGGGACGCTCCTTCTCCTCCTCTTCCGCGTATCGATTTGCATGTTCTTTAAATAAATGTTAAGTAAACGTTATGTTATGCATTACATTTCGGCGTTCAACTTTGCGGCGTTCAACGTTATCTTTGATGTCTGTAATAACCAGCATAATTAGAATCAGTTTTTCTTTTTTTGCGAGGAAGAAGATAAGGAACATTATGTCTCTATACGTGAGCGATTATCGTTAGAACCGAGGAATATTCGGAAGGGAATTTTCTTAAGAACCGCGCAAGCTGCATCTCAGATAATCTTGAATTATCGATCGATCAATTGTATTATGCGCAACCTTGTTAGCTCGATACGTGGAAGACAAGATAACCGAACTTACCGTGTATATCGAGACAACCGAGCTCGGATATCATCGGGCTGGTGTTGATCTGGCACATATAACAACCTCTGTCGGTCTCCTTCAACTGACGAATGTGCAGACGCCACGTGCCGTTGACGACTTCCTCCGTGGCTTGGCTGCTCCCCGTCACTCCGAAAGTGCCGCCGGATGCTCCGCCGGACCCGGAACTTCCGCCGCTCTCGTAGGAGACTGAGATACGCGCATTATGCGTCACGATCCGGGTATGGATCGAGAGGATTGTCTGGTCCGAGTTACGTAGCCATCCAACCTGCAAAGTCCGGTAACGCAACGCGAATAAGCTCCTATCGCTTCCTCGAGCATTGATAACGATGCTTTGTTAAATTCTAAAAGGGCCGGTTTTTCCCTCTGAAAGATGAGAAGTATACAAAAAAGAAAATGCAGACGGAAAACGATAGCAAGTACAATTATAAGGAGTATAAATTAAATTAACAACAGAGGGAGAAAAAATAAAAAGTGGAATGGAAGAGAAAAAGGCTATGCTGTCTTGTTAGGGCGAGGGAAAAACTTTTTTTTTTGCTTCTGAATTCGGGTTTAGCTTCGAGATTAGTTTGGCCAGCGGACGCAACTCGATCTAACCACGATTTGTTTTACTTCTGTTGGCTTTATTTCGTTTTGCTCTTGATGGAGAGGAGTGACGCGATATGAAGATTAAGCGCGCGTGCGGAGGAACAAAAAGAGATACTACTTTTATGGTGAATTTTTCACTCGTGGCAATTCAATTTTGCCACGTAGCACGTCTCCAGCGAACGTTACGTGACCTTACGTTTGCGATATCCGTCGACATTTGTTACATTGCGTTTTGTCACATCGTTGTTTCTCGTCTTGTACCTTTTCCATCGCGACGGAAATCTGGATCATTCCGTCGAAGCTGGCGCAAGCGTCTCAATATCAGTTTATCATCGATGGGATCCAGCCGTAAATCATGACGATAGGAGGTTTTTAGCGCGACGCGAAAAACGTTGAGAAAGAGTAAAAAAAAAAAGTCTTCGAAATGCGATTCACTCGCGACGCCCGCGAAATTCCATTACGGGAATAAAGTGCCACCAAACGCGCGGAAAATGCGTGCGCATTTTAATCCGCGTAGCTCTCTTACTCGTGCTTACCATTTCCGATGTCATTACCTTGTACTTGCGAATGCTAATGTTGCGAACGCTGCAGGAGAAGACGACCTCGCGGCCAATCGCGGCGGTTTGATTTCCAACTGGTGCTACGAAAATCGGGCCTGTGGCAGTGTTCGTTGAATCTGAAACATTCAGTTTTCACTGAAATAGTATTCACGTTACGTCGTTTCATTTAAAACGGGATCACCGAGAAAATTGGGTCGTCGTTGCGGTTGAATCCTTCGTCAAGTAACATTTCAAAGATTTACATATATTTCTAAATATATCTCTACATGCTTGCGATCGCGCGACGATAGCCCTCTGTTGAACCCACAATGAGTAATAATAATTTAATGCCGCATTACGTGCCACTATTTTTTAGTCCATCCACCGACGAGGAGAGATTAATGGAAAAATGTTGGAGAGAAGGCGGAAATTTCATCGTCACCCCCATTCATTACGTTGACAGTGAAATTTCCTTTGAAAATATTTCAACGGGCCATGCCACCGAGACGGTAATAAGTGCATGTCGCAAAGTTTCTTAAGTACTATCAAGGGTAGCTAATTATCGCATGCTTATTCACGCCTGTTGGTGGATTATGACGTCCCTAAACAGATAATGTCAAGTGGTTCAAAGTTGCTCGTGGTAAACTTAGCCGAAGCGTCAACCAACTTCGGGAATGGCTTCGTACGTGAAATTCTCTTCGAGAGATAACATTGGGCGAGCTTTTTATTTTACACGTTACGAGACGCGTTACGAATACTCGATAAATAAACAATCTTTATCTCTGCGAGAGAATAGATATGTTTAAAAATATTTGCTTTATCGTTGGCCGTAACGCGGTCTCATGCGCAAAATAGCACACGCGAAAATAAATATAATTTTTTAGGAAAAAAATAAAAAAAGACGAAAACGGAAAGCGAGTAACATTCAAATTTAAATTGTTACGTACGATCGTCTTCTACATATCCGCTGTATTCCGACTTTCTCTTCTTCTATTTGACCAGCAAAAGCTACATCCGACTTACAATAGACAATATCCAAATTGTCCTTTTATGGATTTAATGTTTCTGAGATGACATCACGGGACAAATCACCGGGGAAATGAAACGAGCTGCCGGATTAGAACAGTAGCAGCAGTTTCCCCGTCGCCATAAAAAGGAAAGAAAAGGAAAGGGCTGCGCAACGTCGGTGTAGAAATTCACACTCTTTTGTACCGAATGAACGACCTAAATTCTCCAAAAGACATGGAAGGATAGATGAGTCGAGAGAATGTAGCGGGAGGAAGAAGAAACTCATAGTTTCTTATTGTTCGTGTTATCTTAAAATATTCCGCCTTATAACACGTCAACGAGATTTAATTTTGGTTATTGTATCAGTTTTTTATTTTTCTGAAAAAATGTATAATTTCTTAGAAAAGAATATACAATATTATAAAAAGAGGATTTTTTAATAAAATATTATAATGAAATAATGTAAAAGGGGGCAACAGTTTGCAACAAAGTAAAAACTGCACAGAGAGGAGAAAAAGAGAAATGAAAAAATAGGAAAGGAGAGAAAGACGAGCGAGAGAGTAATAAACATATGCATAACAAAAGTAAAATTAATTAGTTAAAGTAATAAATTTGTTTGCGGGCCACTATTTAATGAAATGCGTCGCCAAACATTTTCCGACTCTAGCTAATAAGATATCATTTCCGCATATTTATGTTTCAGTTTTTTTCTTCAAAACGGAGACGCATTCTACCGTGGTGAGTTTGAAAATTAAATTGTACCCTGCCCTATCTGAGATATTCAAGGCAATCAACGGCCGGACATTCTTTGCATTTTTATTACAGGTAATTTACTTGCCACTTTCTTTCTCAACTTTGCGACTTTGCGATACGATTCGCGGAGCAAGAATAACTCGTGTTTTCTGGAGCGAGTTTTCGGTGCGAGTTTCGCGAAAAGTATATTATTCGCGCGTGAAACAAAAACATTTATCATGCATCTATCACGTTAATAATGATAACATCTTTGACACTTTTGCGTGAAAGTACACTATGACTTGAATAATAACGCACTCCCATTATATATATATATGTATAATATTCTGCTTTTCGCTAGCACCGATAACCGAGAGAAAATAATCAATCATCCTCGACATTCTGCAATTTTCTCGCCTTCGCTCTCTCCCTCTCTGTTTCCCTGTCTCTCTCTTTCTCTCGTCTTCTTTCTCTTACATCATTTCTTATCTCGAGTATTTCAAAGTAAAGTCAAAGAATCAATACGGTCGTCGCGTACCGCGCGCAATCATTTTCTCGCCTCAAACGGATACCGACAGTAGCGTCGAAATCAAATTCCAAGCACAACGTGTATTTCGATATAAATATATATTGATACGAGAGAGAGAGAGAGAGAGGAAGAGAGGATGACGAAGTTTTGATACGTATTTGTACGAGTATATGTGATTTTTGATACGTTCACTTTCTCCACGCCTCGATGGCCAGTTTCCGGTATGTGGCGAAAGGAAATCATCTTTTAACAATTTCTTTATTCCTCCGACCTCGATCGATTTGTTCGCGAAGCACGGTAGCGGCCGCGTATTCTCACGGAAATCACAAACTTCTAAACCCGGAATGCTACGTGTGTTTGAGAAACAGGGAACAGGGAACATGCAAATGCAATTCTATCGCGATTTGCGGAAAATCGCGGCGCACGTTTCTTCGATGCTTTCGATATATACACATACTCCTAGACAAAATTAACATATAACTTTTTCCTTAAAATTTTTCGTTAAAATTTAAATATTAGAATTTAAATATTTAAATTTAAATATTTTAAAGAAAAAATGTAAGAAAATGTAAAAAAATGATGCGTTAATTTTGTCTAAGAGTATATATATATTAGTGCGTAGCGATTAATAATCAAATCGATTAATTGATGAAATTTGTCGCGTTTGCTGCAAGTGTAGAGAAAAGTGTATAATTTTTTTAAAAGAATGGCGCATCCGAATATTTAAACGCGCACATGACTAATAGGGAGGTATCGTGAAACTGCAAACAACGTGACTTATATAAATCGCTGAGAAATATCTGCGATTCAACTGGTGTAATGTGTGCAATGAAAGTTATTATTAAACGTCGCACAGTGATTTCCGAGCTAATGAGGAACGCAAGAAGTATAAATCTCTCGCGTGTCTCGGTATATGTATGTATATGCGCATGCTCAAGTACGCGTATAAACTTCTCGTGAAACTTCAGACATCTCAGGAATATTCCAATCTCTGAATATACCGCGAAGCCAGACGGCTCTAAATATGAAATTCTCTTAAGCGGAACGGGCACGCGAGGGGAATTCTTCCCCAACTGGGTATATACATGTAGCAAATTTTTACTTTCGCTCATATGTTATGGCATGTATGTATTATAGACGATAGCGGATGATTTTACATGAAGAGGCGAATCGAATCGAAAATGTGAAATGAAATCTTTTCTTTAGTTTTTCGAGAAAGTCCAACTTCAAGCAATCTCAGTCTTTCTCTTACATCAATAAATCGCGTATAAAAATTAAAGAGAAGGAATACAAAATAAAATAATCCAAATTAAAGGGAAATAAATTATCTATTCATCTCTCTCTTTCTTTCTACGTCTGTCGCAATTATTTCGGAATATATTAACGTTAACATCTGTCTACTAGATAGGACTGTAAGACAGCTGACGAATTATCTATACAATCGTGACGTGGAACTATAGTTTAACAGCGACACATCCGTGAACGAAGGATAATCAACAATTGATAGTCATGCTTCTAGTTTCTGAACAACGATATATCGATATATAGATATATACATAAGCAGGATTGCGGAGCGGATAACGTGCGCACGCGCGTGTATAGTTTGATAGAACTTGGATGGAACTTCCGATTATTATGCCAATTCCCAAGCAACTCGCTCTTCGACTACTCCGCTCAGAGATTAGATTCATCTCTCCGAAAGATATAATCTCCGGCGTGCTTCTGGCTAATAAAAAGACGCTCACAGGGATTGCGATGCGCTAAGCTTTTTGATATCGGTTCGCTAGAAAACGAGCAATTCCTTCCTCCACGAAAGGAATCTTACGCCGTTTACGTAAATCCAACTGCAATTTAATGGGGAAAATATATATATTTTCCATAGCATACATTACGTAAATTTTTTTTACAATTTATTGTAAAAGTGGAACACGACGAGATGTTTTATTACTAAAAATTGTAAATTATATTTGTTTTATTATATTTGTTTTATTATTTGTTAACGATTATGCAATAAAATGTTTGAATAATTATAGCACTTTTTTTATAAAATATGTATATTATTAATAATATATTTATAAAATACGTATATTATTAAATAAAACTATCGTGATTTTTTTTTCCTTTAGTTGTTCCACGATTACAAAAGTTACGTAATTTTTACTGCAACATTTTTTCCGTGCTCGACAGGAGTATTACGAGAGGATTATATGTAATTTAAAATTTTAGTTATTTTTTGAGAACAAACAAAATGTTTTTGATGCAATCGTAAAGGCGAGCGAGCAAGAGTGAAATCCGGCGAATTGACCTGACAGGAAAATACTGAGATAATCGCGTATCTCCCTGTAATAACCTGTGTCAGAACGTCAACAACGGCTCCGCATCTAGAACAGTACACTAGTTCGATATGCCATGTATATGGCATCATATGTACACGCGTCGAGTAGCCTGGTTGCGTTCGCAACAGGTTCTCCTCGACGTTCCAAGTTTCTCTCGGTTTCCGTGGAGCATGGTCCGTTATAAAATCGCCACAAAATCGAATAATTAAATCCTCTTCTAAACGATCAATTTACAAATCGAATATATAGGATAATCCCTTGCTGATGCAATCGCGGAAACGTGACAATTCTATATATGAAAAAAATCGCGCGAAAGTGGATTAAAACATTTTCATCCGAGACTTCGTTTTCGAAAAAAATATATTTTTATTAATTTTTTTAATTAGACTAAAACTTTTAATGTCTTTTCCAACCTGGATAATTTCAAACTATTTTGCAATTTCAAAGTTTTTAAGTAGGAAAAAAATTTATTGTCTACATTTTTCTTCTTTTATCTACAATTAATTTTATACATTTTCAAACGAATGTTTAA